AAATATTATAATAGTAAAAGACAAGAAGGCAATTAAAATTGGTTGTAGATTCAGATGATTAAGACGTCAGGTTTAGGGAAATTCTCAAGAAATATCAGAATAGTAGATCTAGCAGTAAATTAGGATTATTATCGAACCATTCTAGAACAGAAATCACTAAATTAAAGTAACCGGTGGTGTTCCGCGAAACTCACTATGCTTAATAGTATTGATCCCAACTCTCTTGTAAATCCCTAGAACTAAGCAAGCATTATAATCAGGTTTGATAAGTTCACCTAAGTTATGGACGCTAGCACGCATCTAAATACTAGGCTCATCTAAGATAGTTCCAGTAATAGATACCTATGGTGGGCATACCTAATAACCTAAAATCAAGTTCTACCTACTTACTCTAGAACTAACTAGAACTAGCATTAAGAATAATCAAAGATGAAGAATTCTAAATATATTATCCTAACAGGGTTTTCGATATACTAATTCATCCAAATCCCTAATGAGAATCCCTAAACCCAACAAGAGAACTACTCAAGTATGATCATAGAAGAACAAAACATGATTGAATAAGAAATCAATAATGAAATTCAGAAGCGGTTATGATAGCACTTAGAGATCGAATTACACAAAGTTTTCGGATCACACAATAGACTAACAGTTTCGAATAAAGCTAAACAAAAAAATATTATAAAGGTAAAAGACAAAAAAGCAATTAAAAGTTGGTTTTAGATTCAGATGATTAAGATGTCGGGTTTAGGGAAATTTTCAACAAATATCACAATAGTAGATTTAGCAGTAAATTAGGAATATTATCGAACCATTCTAAAACTCAAATCACTAATATAGAGTAACCGGTGGTGTTCCGCAAAACTCACTATGCTTAATAGTATTGATCCCAACTCTCTTGTAAATAGGCATCTCATTCCTTCTGCTGATGTTCCCTCTTCTCTGACATGAATCACATTTCGAGACAAATTCCTGAGCATCCTTAAACAATGTTGGCCACCAAAAACCTGCTTGCAGGATTTTTGACACTGTCTTGAAAGTTGCAAAGTGGCCACCATAGGTAGACCCATGGCAATGCAATTTGATGCCATCAGTTTCGTCTTCTGAAACGCATCACCTGTAGATCTTATCTTTGTAGAGAGTGTAGAGAGAAGGCTCGGCCCAGTAGAAATGGTTAATGTCCTTGAAGAACTTCTTCTTCTCATAGCTCAACATATTCGGAGGCTCTTCACCACTAACCAAGTAGTTGACGTGATCAGCATACCACGGAAGCTTATCTTTTATGGCACATACTTGATCGAGTGATTTCAAAATTTGAGCACTCTCGTTCAGTTGTTGAATAGCCATTAGTTGTTCTTCTGGCATGGAGTCGTCAATAGGGACCTTGTCTTCAATTCTCATCCTAGAGAGATGGTCAGCTACACCGTTTTCAATTCCCTTCTTATTAACTATCTTCAAGTCAAACTTTTGGAGCAATAAGATCCATCTCAACAGCCTAGGTTTGGTATTCTTCTTCGCATATATATGCCTCAAAGTAGCATGATCAGTGTAGACTGTCACCTTAGAACCTACTAGGTAGCTTCTAAATTTCTCGAATGCAAATACCATAGCTAGCAGTTCTTTCTCTGTAGTGGCATACCTTACTTGTGCATCATCCATCGTTCTGCTCGCGTAGTAGATCACATGTAGCTTTCTGTCAATCCGGTGGCCCAAAACTGCTCCTATTGCATAATTTGAAGCATCGCGCATGATCTCAAGCGGGAAGTCCCAGTTTGGAGCTTGGACTATTGGGGTAGTGACCAAAGCTTCCTTGATCATCTTAAGGTTGTCAAACATTCTTCATCAAATGCAAACTCAGTTTCCTTGCACAGCAGTCTGGTGAGCGGTCTGGCCAACTTGGAGAAATTTTTGATGAATCTTCTGTAAAATCCTGCATGCCCAAGGAAACTCCTTATGTCCTTGACAGTTTTTGGCGGCTGTAACTGCATCATCACATCAACCTTAGCCTTATCAACCTCTATTCCCTCTTCTGCAATTGTGTGCCCCAAAACGATGCCTTCTCTAACCATGAAATGACATTTCTCCCAGTTCAGAACCATGTTTGTCTCTTCACATCTTTTGAGTACCCTACACATAAAAATCATCCATGAATACCTCTACCATCTCCTCTATCAAATCCGAGAAAATGGAAGTCATACGCCACTGAAAGGTAGCAGGTGCATTACCGAGACCGAAAGGCATACGCTTGTAAGCAAAGGTCCCATTAGGACAAGTAAAAGTAGTGTTTTCTTGGTCATTTGGGTGAATTGAGATTTGAAAAAATCCGCTATATCCATCTAGGAAGCCATAGTAAGGATAGTTTGTTAATCTTTCTAGCATCTGAATAATGAAAAGCAATGGGATATGGTCCTTCTTAGAGGCAGCATTTAACTTCCTATAGTGAATACACATCCTATGTCCAGTTATTGTCCTAGTGGGTATAAGTTCATCTTTAGCGTTTTTAACAACTTTTATACCTCCCTTTTTAGGAACGCAATGAACTAGAGATACCCAAGTGTTATCAGAGATAGGGTAGATAACCCCAACATCTAATAATTTAAGTATCTCTTTTTTCACAACCCCTTTTAAGTTTGGGTTTAATCTCCTTTCAAGTTCAATGCTAAAGTAGGATTCGTTTTCAAGATGGTTTTTATGGGTGCATAAGGTGGGTGAAATCCCCATAATATCATCTAACGAATACCCTATTGCTTTCCTATACTTTTTAAGCTCAGTTATCAGTAGGTTTACTTGATCAGTAGTTAGCTCATCATTCATTATGAGAGGATAAGTAGAGTTTAGTCAAAGAAAAACGTACCTTAGCCGTTTTGGTAGCGGTTTTAAATCGACTTTGGACGCCTTGAGTCAGACCAGTCGTCGGATACTAAGTTGGCTTCAGAGGAGGGGTTGTGATCGAGTAGTTCGGTCGAGCAGACTGAATGGGCCGTCGGTCGAGTGATGCGGTCGAGTGATGCGGTCGAGTATATATTCGTCCTTTTCCCTTCCAACCAAATTTTCATACTGTTCTGGATTCTCAGCTACTTTATGCTCATCTAAAAGCTTATGGTACCCCAAAGTCTCCAAGTGTAAATCTCCTTCCTTGCTATCCTTTGTCAGGGCACTCTGTAGATGATCTGTTTCTCCTAGCTCTTCTAGCATTTTGTCAGCTAACAGATCAAACTCTTCAATCCAGAAAACATTTCCTTCTATTGTAGGCTTCTTCATGGTGTTGGTGATATCGAAGATCATCTTGAGATCTTTCCCGAGGTTAAGATCGATCTTTCCCTTCTTGACATCAATGATAACTCCAACTGTACCTAAAAATGGCCTTCCCAGTATCAAAGGATCTTTGGGCTCTTCATCCATTTCTAAAACTAAACAATTTGTACGTACTTCGACCACGCCTATCATGATTGATAAGTCTTCTAGCAGACCATGGGAAATTCTGACAGACATGTCAGCTAGGATCAAGGATATATTGCAGGGCTTGTACTTGCTGAAATCGAGTTTCTTTGCCACAGAGAGAGGCATGAGACTCACAAACGCACCTAGATCACATAGGCATTTGTTGAAGGCTAAAGGACCAAGAGCGCAAGGCAAGGTAAACGAACCATGATCTCCTAATTTTTTTGGAATGATCTTTTTCCGAATGATCGCACTACATTCAAGACTTAGCACCACCATTCCTTGGACTTCTTTGATCCTCTGTATAATCGTTTCTTTCACATATTTGTTAGAGTCTAGTATAAGTGCAAGACAGTCGACAAGAGGCATTGTGACTTCAAGATTTTTCAATTGCTTTTCAAAGAGAGCTTTGTAGTTTTGTATCATGACCTTCTTAAATCGACCAGGAAACAGGAGTGGGGGCTTGTAAGGTGGGGGAACGAAGACTTTGTCTTTGGTTTTGGCAGCAGCTCGGTTTTCAACAAGAGGTGATACTGCAGGAGCTAGTGGTCGAGTAGATTGGTCGAGTATAGGCTCTTCTATTGCTTTTTTTAACTGAATCTTCATTCTGACAGAAATCCTCCCCATCTCGCTCCAAACTGTCCTTAGTGTTTTGGTTTGGACTTTCTCTTGTGGGCAATTCTTTACCGCTTCTGAGCGTGATAGCATGAGCATATTCCTTTGAATTTTGCATTGATTTGCCTGAAGGTCCTGTAATTTTGGGTGTAGAGGTCGACCAAGTTTGGCCTTCTATGAATCGGATCTTAGATGTCAGTGCTTCAACCTTTATATTGATATCATTGTAACTGCAGTAAACCTTGTCATGAATTTCTGCCATCCTTTTGGACAAATCCATTGCTCATGTTGCTTGTCCCTGGAGAATCTGTTGTAGCATGTTCTTCAAGTCTGAGTGAGGAGTCGATGAAGGTTGTTGATTTTGTTGCTGTGTGAACCCAGGTGATGGAAGTTGCGGTTGATAGCTGCCCTGATACTGCTGTTTAGGAACATACCCTTGTCCTTGGGTGTATGGAACAAAGGGCTTGGGTTGATTCGGCTACTGTGAAGGGTAGACTTGATCCTGCGGGTTTGCAACATTTGTACTTCTGTAAGACAGATTCAGATAGTTCTGCTTGAAGTTGTTGAAACCTTTGTTGTAACCTCCCTGATTTTGCAAATAGCTAACTTCTTTTGATTGGAGAGTCTCCCCATCCTGGACTTGGAGCGTCTCATCATCATAGAGAAAATGGACGTGCTTTTGTTGCACAAGGAGTAACTTGTCCAGCTTGTCATTCAAAGCTTTCATATCCCTGCGGTGCTTCTCATCAGAATGAGAGCTGGTGCGGATGCTTCCATCGTAATCTTCATTGTAGTTGCCATCAGAATATGCCAAATTCTCTACCAGCTCCCATACTTCTTCAACGTCCTTGTTGAAGAAGTTCCCGTTAGAAGCAGTACCAAGAAGCATCCTGATTTTTGGAAGGACACCTCTGTAGAGGGTGTTGAGAAGTGAAGCTTAGGAGAAACCATGATGAGGACATTGCGTTTGATATCCTTTGAAGCGCTCCCATGCTTCACAGAAAGTCTCAACACTTTTCTATGTGAAACCGGAAATATCATTCCGGAGTCTGGTAGTTTTGGAGTTTGCGAAGAACTTAGCCAGGAAGACTTTCTTGCAGTCATTCTAGGAGGTGATGGAGCCTTGAGGAAGCGACTTTTCCCACTGATGATCTTTGTCTCCAAGAGAGAATGGAAACAATCTGAGCTTGAAGCCATCCTCACTGACTCCATTGATCTTTGTTAAGCTGTAGAGCCTATCAAACTCGTCCAGGTGATCGAGTAGATCCTCCATAGGGAGGCCGAGAAACTTGTTGCTCTGAACAATGGCAATGAGACTACTCTTGATCTCAAAGTTGTTGTTCTGCACTGGTGGAGGCACAATGTCATTTCGCTGATTGTGGTTGCGTGGTGCATCGCCTGCACCAATGTTGGTTGGTGGCACTTGCTCATGTACAACTGCAGCCATTGTGTATATTTCTGTTTGTGTTCTCAGTTGGTGAGCAATACAGTCGATGTTATCGTTGAATAGGAGGTTCTGATTTCCTTGTGAACGTGTATGCATACAACGAGTACCAACTAGTGAAGCTGGTGATTCGTAGCACCTGGATCAAAATAGACAAACAAAAAACACAGAGTTAGTAACTTTCAAGAAAAACAAAAAAAGAACTTGATCTTAAATATTCTCAAATCTCAAATATAGCAAACAAACACCCAATTGGCGACAACGCCAAATTGATAGTAGGATTTTACTCAATTAATCCTAAAACACTATCCAGTCGTCGTAGTATTTTAGGTGTTAATCAAATCAGGTGTGATGCAAACAAATGAGATGTGATAAGAAGTCACTAAGTCAGGCCAAGCAATAATAGTTTTGAGGTTTCTAACAGCCCTAAGCCAACATGCAGAAAACAGAATTACACAAATCACTAGACCACAACTGGCTTAAGCCAGAAGGATGTGGACGAGTAACATGCAGAAATTGAAACAACTATACTCGACTGCACAGTCAGTTGCCAAACAATGGGTGTGGTCGAGTAAATGCGAAAACTAAGCAACATGCAATGAGAAAGATTAAGCAATAGCGATGTATCAGAGAAATCAAATAGACGAGAAATTCCTAAATATTGGGTAATCAAATGGAGTGGTATCCTAGCCTATTCAGATGGTTAACAAACGCAATCAAGCTATCCCTAGACAACAGGTTCAACAACAGATCAATTCACTCCCGTGATAGAAATCCTTAAGCAATAAGAACCGACTGATAAAGTCAATAAACGGCTCTAAACAGCCAATCCCTTGGGATAGAGACGAATAGCTCAGAAAACTAGTGGATCAAGCATTCCATCGAACACCTTCTAGGTGCGGGAATGCTTTGAATCAAATTCCAGTAGATCAGAAAGAAATAAGAAGTAAATACAACTAGTCTTGAAGGGATTCAATTCTAAAACTTAACCATTCTATAGACTACGGATCCCTCAACCACTTTGTCCCATCCTTAAGAATTCTAAGTCACTACTCAGAAAACATGCTCAAAGACATAATCACAGATAAACAAGTATATTGCATAAGTAAAGAGATAAAGAGTAGAAAAACAAGATGACATATGAAATCAAATGCGGAATCTGAATAACTTGGAAAAATCTCGAATTACAGGTTGTAGAAGCAAAGTGGCGCATCCTGAGTCAAACAGAAATAAAACTAAACAAAAATTTAATGTCGACTAGATGTCTCTGGAAAAAATCCTAGACACCTATGTATACAAAACAAAATAAATTGATAGTAGATGAGTCGGGCACCCAATCAACCGGCCCATAGAGTGATAATGGGCCGAGATGGGCTTCATGATCGGATGAAGCTCTTGACCGCTTCCAAACACTTCTTCTTCTCCTCTTCTCTTCCTTGTGCTCAGCTTGTCTGGTTGAGTGCGGATTTGAGTAGACTCTGAAGATGTGGTCGAGTGCTTGGTCGAGTGGTGGTGAGTGATGATACTCGACTTCGTGGTCGAGTAATGTGGAAGAGTGAATGTCAGAGTGGTGATCAGGTGGTGTGACGAAGTGTTACTCGACCTAGTGGTTGAGTGGCCTGGAGTGTGGTTACTCGACCAGGGGGTCGAGTGATTGGTAAGAACGGCCTCAATGTTACTCAACCAGGGGGTCGAGTGTGCTGCTGGAGTTACTCGACCTGGTGGTCGAGTGTGCTGCTGGAGTTACTCGAACTGGTGGTCGAGTATGTTTTTTGGTTCCGGCTCTCTTCTTCCAATTTGCTCGCCAACAGCTCCAAACCACCTAAAAACAACTCAGAAATGCAATATGCATGCAAAGCTATCCTAATCATGAAAAGTATGCAAGAATGATGAGGAATGATATAAAACAGTGATGAATGATATGAAACTAGACTCAAACCGATGATGAATGAACACAGAAAACATGCAAATTATAGACATATCAGCAGTAACATGAACATAGTTCTTTGGATCAAACATAGAGGCTATTGCATCGAACGAGGAAAACTCAACTCATTCTAGACACCTTTGCTCGACCGTCATCTCGAGTAACCTTTCAATTGCTCCAAAGACGTCATGCTCAACCAAACAACTCAAGTCAAGCATTCTGCAATCAAATTATTGGTTAGTATTCACGGAGAAGTCTATATGGTAGGACAAAGCTATAAGAGATTTAACACATACGGTGAGAGAGCTGAAGGATCAAATCAAGGAGCTCCATGGAAAAGCCAACCAAGCACCACTCGACATCAAGGATGTCCCAAATGATGAAGTTATTTCTTTGCTTCACAAAGAAGGATGCGAATTCACATTAGAACGGTCTAGAGAAGACGATTATCGAGATGATCAAAAAGAAACTTACAAGAAAAGGGCCATTAAGTACTCAACTACTGACATATCAAGAGAGCATGTTGAATACAATGTTGTATCAAACGAGGAAGAAGCGGAGACCTGAATTCCTCTCTATCACCCTCCATTAGCTTAATAAGTGTGACGACTCAGGCTCGAGACTTAAAACAAGCTCACTTGGGAGGAAGTCCCATGTCTAACTTGTACAATTTTTTTTTTGGTTGTCTTTAATGCATTCTGGTAGTGTTTTCGGGAGATAAGTATGTAGAGCTGAGTGAAGTGGATTCTGGCTCTGAGAGTACAACAGTATACTCGACCACAGAGCGATGAAAAATACTCGACCTTATTTTGGGTTCTCCACGCCAGGAGATCACTCGACCGCGGTGCTGGCCGCAACAAAGGAGATGAGGTCGAGTACCTACAAGGCGGAGGCTAGACACAACAGGGAGACTTTTCAATGGCTTGGCAGGAATCGCAGGCAAACAATGATGATCAACTCCGCTCCTTCTTTGACAGAAGTAAGTACCTCACTTCACCGTTGTATAATACCATCTCCTCTTTTTGTTTCTATGATGTGTTTTTCCTGAGTACTCTTTTCCAAATTTGGTCACACAGAGGACTGTGTGATTTAAGTTTGGGGGAGGGCTCAAGTGTGTGTTGCATTGTATATACTATTGAGTCTACATTCATCTAAGGCATAGAAAAACCAAAAATGTTTATAATATTTCTGAAAATGATGTCACAAAAACAAAGTGTGCATATATTTGCATCACATTTAGGATTGAGTCTAGGATGTTTCATATAGGATTCTTGCACATGCATTGCATAGGGGATTATGATGAGATACCCTTGTTGCTAGTTGTCTGATGCATTGTCAATGAAATTGAAGTAAAACTGCACCATGTATTGAATGCTCTACTCGATCACACTGCCAGGATTTGATACCATTCCCTATCAATTTGAACCTGAATCTGATTTATAATTATCATGTCTTGGCATCAAATTTGAACACATGGATACCCTAAAATACTTGGACTTCCTTACTCATTTTAACCACTCTTTTTAGTCCAAGTAGCTGACTCCCCTTATTGGAGCAGTTAACCCCGACCCTAAACCTTAACCTTTTTTCAAGCCCTTTATCACTTGTGAGTGTTTGTGAGGTCTTATTCCGATTGAGCTTGGTAGAAATGGCTAGGTTCGTAACGACAAAGACAGTGTCTTATGTTGTTCTAGTTTGAGTTATGCGGATTAGATAGGAATAGGTGGGCGCTTATATCGTGGGTTGTAATGTGTTTAAAAGAAAGAAAAGAGTGAATTCATTGTTGATGAGGAAAGGGAAAAAACATTCTATGGGAAGTAAGCTAAAGAAGTTAGAAAAAAGCCTAGTAAAGGTTTTGGGAATGTTAAAGAAAAGAATAGGGTTCTTGTTAGCTATAGAAGAAGGGTAAAAGCCCTTAGTTTAAAAGATTAAAACAGGAACCATAGTTGTTAAAGAAATTCAAATCCGCTAGAAGTATCAAAGTATTGAGAAAGGTTCTTCTAGAGTTAAGAGAAAAAAACGAATGATATCAAAAAGGGTTTAAGAGATTCATGAATGCAAAGGGTAGAGTTAAACTCTTATTTTAGGATTGGAGAATGGATTACCATTAGAGCTTCATTGGTTATACTTTGTGTAGATCAGATCTTATCTCTGTATGCATAACTTGGGACTTACCTTTATCATTCTACTAAAGCTCAATCATTCTTTAGTGGACCATCTTTGTCTCCTGACCTTCACCTTAGCCAAATGAGTTCATTGATGATGCATTGCTTGATTTACGTTCAAGAACTAATGAATGTTAAAGGGATTGATAGATTTGAAAGCATGTGTAGGTCGAGTATAAGAGTCGGATTGAATCATAACAAGGCATGGCTAACGTTTTTGAGTAGAATTCGATCTTATCGCATCTTTAAACTACCAAATTGGAAATTGATTTTATCTATTTATTTAATGCTTTGGTTCTGAATCCCCAACTTTAAACCTCTCCTTCAGCTATGTTTTCTTATTTACTTAAAGGCAAGCAAAAAACTAAGTTTGGGGGAGTTGATATGCCTATAATTTGCATGTTTTCTTCATTCATTCATCATCGTTTTGGGTCTAGTTTCATAGCATTCATCACTGTTTCATATCATTTCTCATCATTCTTGCATGCTTTGTGATATATACCTATTTTCACTGA